TAATTGTGGATACTGTAAAGGGTAAACAGTATGAATTCCACTCCTGCTGCTGCTATTCACCCTGCAGGTCTGAGCGTGTTACATCCAATTATGAGGTAAAGCATAATGCTACTAATGGCAGCCATATAATTTATTTCAGTCTTCGTAAGCCCTGTTTTTGCCTCCAAAATTGAAAAATTGTTTTATTCACAATTTGCTTTTTGTTCATTTGTTAAAAAGGTGTTTTTTCATTTCACAACATTATAATCATTAATTGGGCGCAGACATACAACCTTAGTAAATGAAATTGTGGTTACACTGCACAATATTTTACATTGAAACAAGTATTTTCCAACAGTTTAGGATGCATGTTTCATGTGACATTTCTGATCTACTTACATTGTGTGACAGGTTATAATATATTTTTGAGTGGTGTTTTATTTATTTATTTAGTATATCTATGCTGGAACTGTTTAGGTGCACCTGGACCTGATTAAATACTGTAATGGATCCTCTGTGCTGACCGCCAGAGGTCACTATAGAATCCAGGTTCAAAGTAGTATGGGGGCATATGGTTTCTGTCACCTCCCTGAACAAGTTTATTTAGCCTATAGATTACTTTAGGAGCTTCGCTGTAGAGATTTCTTTCTCCTATATCTTATGCTGCTTGATGTAGTTGAGTGGGTCAGCTAACTTAGACCCAGTCCAGCTAAAGGAAGTAAAGAGAAATAGGAATATTAACCTGTTCCCTCCTCCAGGAAATTACTCAACTCTACCATCTTTGCCCAGTTCAAATATACACTGGGACAGATTTTTCCATTCCAACAAGTGACGTGCAAAAAGCAAGTGTGAGAGAAGGATCCAAGAGAGTGAGATTGGCAGGCATATCCCATGCTGCTTTTGTAAAGCAAGTTTCTTAACTGATTCTTGTTGGATTTCTGTCTTTGTGAAATACCGGAGTTTATAAACCTCTGTGGTCAGAATATTACGGATAGTTTGCTGGTGCAAAAAGCTGCCACTATACTGTGAAACTGGCAAGTAATCCCAGGTAAACAAAGTGAACCACCTGTGGTAAAGTTAAAGATCTTGGAAAGCAGATTGTCATTATTTTATTAATTATACACAAACACTTCTTAGTAAAGTGGATTAGAATGTTAAGAATAGATCAGCTTTATGTTCCACAATGAAAAAAGAAAAGTGTGTTAATTGCTCATAGACAGTGGTTTACACAGAGCACTTCACAGTTAAAGAATATGATATGGAAAATGTGTATAAATAACATTAGTAATGTTATGTGACTGTCTAAAAATCCTGAACTCATGCCATGGAGGAAAAGGTGTAACAGGTTAAGAATAGTGCTGACTTTGGCTTGATATTTTGTGTGTGTGTGTGTGTGTGCATGTGTGTGTGCACACATGTTTTTTATTTGTATCAGCAATAGTTAAATTTTTACGTTCCTATTTTTTTCCTCTTTGGCTTTATGAAAGGTGATTGTAGAATATAGTTTTTATGAGAGAATTCAGGAAGGTTCATTAATCTGTTTAACATATATAGTTGTATTTTTTTAAATTGTTAAAGAGAATAATCTTAGCTAGATAAACCATTCTAGTCCATTCTCTAAATGTACAATTATAATTTTTAAAAGAATTTGTTTTAATGTAGATCAGAAGTGCTTACATCCTCTTATCCCTCTCAGTATGATTGGCACTGCTCTAATTACCAGGGCTTCTATAATTCTCTATTAAAAAAAGAATTTTTGAATTGCACATCATTAATAAATAAGGCCATCAGAAGCTGCATTGCAGCTTTTGAAATGACTTAGGCCCATATAAACCTTCCTGTTGTGTCAAGGCATTACAGGGGTCCCCAAGCAGTTGGTGATCTTAAATACCAGATCTGCTGCAATCCTGAGATACAACGGGTAAGTTAAGAATGAAGTTTCAGCCTTCATTGTTGAGTGTCCATGTTTTATGGTTGTATGTCAGATCCTAAATCTCATTTGAATATAGTTAATTAATTAATTCAATTATTTGAGACTACATAACTCGGACATTTTTCCTAAGCAACATGCAGGTTTTTCTCCTGCAAATGGAAAGAAACGCATGTACAAACCTGTAATAAATATTATGAGATGCAATCTTGTAACTGGAAGAGTATTTGAAGTTTTTATGCTGTTCTAAGATGATCGATCTGCTATAGTATCTTTCACATAAAGAAATAAACATTCTGTGTCAGTAGTTAATACTAGTTTGCTCACTTTATCCATATTTTTATTTGCAGTTGAAAAATGAAGAAAAAGATACGTATGAGGAAAACATCCATTACCCCTTTCTTCTTGTTTTAACCAAACACGGATAGAAGATGAAATCATTTCTAAGAGGACAAATGCAAATTAATTTTATGTGTGATTTTTTTTCAGAATAGTTATTATAAAAATATAATTTTAGTGGCAATGAACATATGGTTTGCTTGATTTACCACAGTGAGGAACCCTCAAGACAGATTTTTATATAATTTTTAGAACTTATTTTTCCCTACCTTTTGAAAAGAACTTCCAATGTACATAGAAGCTCTAAATTTGGTTTTTCTTTTCCATTGTGCCCTTCAGTTTGTATGCGGGTCTTTTTGTTAATCTCTCTAAACACAAATTTTTGGTTGTTTTTGAAAATATGTAAATAATATGTTTTTGTAATTGCTGATTGGTTGTAAAGTGCTAAGGCTTTGTCATGGAGTTAAGGAGGAAATAGGGTTTTTTTTAGATTTTTAAAAGTGTCCATATCACATCTGAGAATCTTTCTTTTGCCTCTCCTGAAATTTCTCTGTTGATTTTTCTGCCATACAAAATTGAAATGCCCTAACTTGTCTCAGCAATTACTTAATTTTTTTTGCAACAGGATTTTTTTTTCTGTATAGATGTATAAGAAATTATGTACCAGACAAAAGCCTCATAAACTGACCATTTGTCCTTTGGACACAATAGCTTGCCCAGCCCTCTGCTCCTCCTCTCCAATTATGTGTGATTAGTCTCAGTGTGTTGTGTCAAGAAGGGGGAGTGTGCTGAGTGCTTATTATCTGTTTAGGTACAAGAAGAGCACATTTAGGCTCTGACTATGAATGAAAAGTGAGCCTTTATCAGGACTAAAATCTAACTGCTACTGTTCTACAAACCTCTGTTTAAAAATAGATCCTTTCCTGGGAAATTCTGAACATTATAGCAACTAAGAGATTTTTTTTAAATGCAATCAAGCAATCATCTCATTTAAACCAGGTTTATACTGTGATATACTGTGTGCTCCAGGTATTTGGCAAACATTTAATATGATTTAGTTAGTGCTGAGAAAGGGCAACTGTTCTACAGAGATTCATGAACATATTTTTTCTGACAATTTAATAAAACATTTTAATGATTTCTTGAAATGACAGTCTGGGTCTTTAAGGAATCCTGTACAATCTCTTGAACCCATACACTTTTTAAATTACTTTAAAAAGCCCTAAGTGCATTTAAATTCTCAGTTCCTGTTAAAATATATTAAAACAATTATATTTGGTCACTGCACTTCCTGTCACATTTAACAAGCTGAGTTTTATGTAAACCAGTAGCTCATAAAAGTCCATTTTCTTCACTACTCTCCTCAAACAAATGTCTTCACCACCAGTTTGCATGTCCTTGTATTCAACACTTTTTATGCTCCATTAGAGCACCTAGATGGATCTCAGAAGGCATAGGTCAAGTCGCAGTTAGATCATACATTTCTTTCTCACAAAAACTTGAATTGCAATGCCAAGTGATGGGCTAACATCACAATAACAGCAATTTATTCCTCTTTTGATAAAACAGCAGTCTATTCTCAGTGTTAGATAAAGACCAGGGGCAATGCAAACCAGCCATTTATCCTAGTAGTTCAGTAGTAGATCTCCTTTATGGATGTTATGGGTTTCATATTCCAACTCTTCTTAGACAAATATATTCTGAAAAGAAATCAGAAATGTTTAGTGATAGCTTAAGGTTGTTTTAAAGGTAGCACTCATTTAACCAGGTTTTGTTTGCTTCGGACATATCACAGAGGATGTTTCCACTAAGAAATGCATACCTAGAAATCTTTATAGCTAATAAAGAAAAGCCAAAGAAGTGAAATCTGAAAATATGGAGATCCTTTCTATCTTTGTAAGAAGGGCTTGAGAACAGATTGTATGCTAATCAAATAAAGACATATTAGTTGCCAAAAATATAACCACTAAATTGAAAATGATGGGGGGTTTTATCTGTTTATTCCTTTAAGGAGAAAACAAGCTTACTAACATGAACAGCTTATTGTTTCTTGTTATTTCTTTACTGCCTGTAGTGCTAGCAAAAGCCAGGTGCCGGCTATCATCCCTTAAGAGTATAATTGATGGGATCTTTACCAAAGACATATCTAGGGTTTGAGCCTACAAACGCTTACATGCTGAAACTGAACACTAAGTGCTTGCAGCATTGGACCACTAATCTGTAGGAAAGATACCAAAGCACTTGTTTAAATGTTTGTTTGTTATCAAATCTGTCTTGTAAATGATATAAGTGTCAGGGGTTGGGGACTGAGAGAGTGTGAGCACACACACACGAGTGAGTGTGACTTTTAAAAGTGTTGTTTGTAAGGAATATCTCTGATATAAGCACCTCAAAAGGCAGAGCTAACTATATAAATGTTTTCTGAGCTCTCAAATCTCAATAAAAAGGCAATCTTTTGAGGGGGGTGCTTTGAAATTCAGGTAGCAAAGATCTCTGATCAAAGATTTCTGTTCACGGGTCTCCACATACTATCATAAATATAAATGTATCAGTGTCCTGTGCATGACCCACTTTAACTAAAGTCTTTTTGGTAGCTGAGACTTTGTGTATGTGTAAATGTGTTACAGATTTTTATATTCCTTAAAGGCATATTAGGACTGATTTGTTTATGTTTGTAAAACACTTTGAAGATAAAAGGCACTATGCAAGTGTTCTGTTGTTGTCTTTGAAAATAAATAGAGCCATTAGGCTGATGCTAATTTTCTTGTACTTATACTGGTAGTTTATCATGGAAATCACCTCTTCTTCCTTTTTCAAACTGAAATTGCAACTCAGGATCCAGTCCCTAACGTATTGCGGGGGTTTCAGTGGGAGTGGTACTGATGCTACTGGCAACTTATTATAACCTTTAAATGTACAAAGCCAAGAGTAATAGCTAAGTATAAGAAGAATTCCACTTCATCTAAAATAGGTAATAGATATGTGTAATCACATAAGAAACCTAGAAAAGGTTTTGCAAAAGACTGTGAAACAAATCTTCCTGATAATATTTTTTAGAACAAGTTTTTTGTTTTGTGGGGGACCGGTTGTTTTTAAAAAAATGCCATTCTGGTTGGTTAGTGTGCTTGATTTGGAATGAAAGTTGAATGAAGCACAAGATTTGCAATCAGGAGATCTTTCAACTGTATCCATTCAGTTACAAAATCCCTGTTTGGCTTTGGGCAAATCATGTAAGGCTTGATTTTGGCTCAACTGATATCACTACAAGAATAGTGGGTATAAGACCACTTGAATCCTATGCATCCTTTCTAGACTCTGAGCCCAGCCATTTATAGTTAAATAAATGCTATACATCTATTTCACCTCCCCTTCGCTGTCTACCTGAAGGAAACAGGAAGCAGTAGGCAGAACCTTTTTCTGCCTTCTCCATATGCCAATGCGTGTACCTGATACAACGGAAGGAAGTAGTAACAGAGAGTAATCCATTACTGGCCAAGAACTGTAGCATTTACCTACTCCCTTAGACAAAGGGGTAGTGGCTGTGCACCTGCCATTATATAGGACAAATTGTGAATGTGGCCTTTAGCTCCAGTTCTTGGTGTTTTTCTCTACTCTTTCTTTAAAAAGTGGGTGAGAGTTGATATTAAGCTAATTCATTAGTGTTCACAAGTGGTTTGTGATCATCAGGTGGAAGATGCCGTAGATGTGCACATTGTTGTTGTACCTCATTTCTGTAGAGCATAGTCATCACTGTTTGTTTTTTCCTTCAGAATTGGCAGGGATTTGTCACTTTCTACCAGTCAGTTCAGTTTTTCTTGCTGATTCAGGTAATTTAATAACCTTTCACTGCTGTATTTCAAGAGCATACTCCTAAATTGAGCTATTTGATTTAAAGGAGGAAGGATTTGGCTTTAAAAATTAGCTGCTGCTGCTGATGTTTATTTGTATTGCAACAGCACTTCCAGGCCTCAAACAAAATAAAGCCTGTTATGGGAGGCACCTGACAAACACAAAGCAAGAGCAGATCTATGCATTGAGGAGTTCACACTTTAAGTAGGTAAAGAATGAGAGAGAAACTTATGGCCCAGGTTCCAGATAAGAGACCCAAGACACATAGAGCGTAAGTAACTTGCCCACAGAGGAAGTGTGTGTCATGATCTGGAACTGAACCCAGATTTCATGAGTTTCAGTGCTGTCTTAACCACAAGAGCAGCCTCCCTGTCTGACCAGTGATTGTCCTTCAGACAGCTGAATGTAACAAACCTAATGTTTGGGGGTTTTTTTTTCAAGTTTAAAGGATTTATCTTATGAAGGTTCTTTGCTTCATCAGCACCTGGCTTGCTTCCAAATGCCTAACAGACTGTAATGTCAGGATCAGAGCTGGACATTTTCCATCTACATCCAAAAGAGATATTGGATCTTCATTGTCCTTCCTAAATGTAAAGTGTCTGGAAGGTAGAGGGAAGATGCATGAAACAGTAGTCCAGATGGCATTCCACAGCCTGAGAAGAAACATCTTGACCCATGAATATGGGTTAAATTCAACAGATGTAGAGCCCACAAAACACAATGAGCTGTCATAGCCAACAACTGTGGAACAGCAGTATTTTTTTCTGAGTAGGGCTGTGATTACAAGAAATATCTTTGATAATTATACTTCCATTAAATGTATGTTTCAGCCAGCATTGATTTTAAATCAATGCAATAACATTTGTGAAAGATTTCTCATTAAAATCCGAGATGAGGGTTCTGCATGTGAGACATATTTCTCATTTAGTTCTAAAATTTTGTTGCAGCAACATGACAGGCTAGGAGCAAAGAAAGGATTTGAGCTCTCGACTTGTTTTGTGCCCTGATAGTACATGAAGCCTAAAAGGCTGTTATTTTTTTCTCCCGACTTCAATTAATGTACTTTTAAAATGATTAAACATATCATGCTGTGACTTCTAAAATGTCAACAAGCCTGTAAACTTGGGAGACAGGAATGTAATAAAATAGGTAATAGGAGATTCAATAGTTAATAGAGGCCCTGAAGTGTGAGTGTATACAGTAGCTGTATATTGGAAACTGTGCAAATGAAGATGGCTTAGTATTGCAAACTGAGGAAGAAAATTGTTTTTAATTAGCACCTTCATAAGAACTGCTGATTAATACTGTTTGGTTTGGTGAAAAGCTTTCAGCTGAGTAATTTGTACAGCCATTACAACAGTTTTGTTAGACCAGGACTCCTGTTGTTAAACACAAACAGCAGATGATAATGGTGGAAGATGAGTTTGTCATGTAACAATTTACCTTATTGAAAAAAGCTTTATATAAAACCCAATACAGTAGGTACCAGCAGAAATCACATATTTTAAATCCTTCCAAAATTGCAGTGTGCCATGCTAGTGTGTTTTTTCATGGACTAGAAACAGATTTTATATCATTTATAAAATTATATATACAATTTAAAGGTGTTGTAGCATGGACAGACCACTTTACTGGTAATGCTTTACATCAGGATATTAAAGTGCTAGTGTATTCAAACACCTTCTAAGTATACAAAGTAGGTTTAAAAATTGAAAGGTAATTAATATTGTTCACATGCAAATGTGTGTTTGTGCCTTTTGCACTAAAATTACATTCCATGTTTGTGTAAGGTCTAGCATTTATACCTAAGGTTTTAAGGAGATTTCTTCCAGGAAAACTATTATTGACTGCTTTTGCTTACTGTTTTTTTAATTGACAATTAAAAATAAAAACCCTTTATCAATAGCTGGTAATACTGGGACATGCATATTTTCGTTACCCCCAATAGGATATTTAGTACAGTCTATAGAAAAAGAGGAACATTTATTAAATGCAGGAACAATACAGGAATATGTGCATTAAATTATTACACTAACCAAGGATGGTAAGATCTGTAAATTATTGGAGTGCCATAATAGAACATGAGAGTTTTCCTTTAGACAGGCCTTCGGGGTAATAACAAGGGTTGAGACTCACGACAGTGCCAAATAAGCTTTAGACAGCATAATAGTCTGCAAAGAAAAGCCACAGAGCACTAATGTGAAAGAAGAGCTGTCCACCACATGCAGCAAAAATCACCAAAGGTCATTTTATGGTAGCAATTGTGACATAAAATTGGTGGTCATGCTACATGTCTAATACTCAGCACAGCTTTATAAATGATGGGCCCCTAGCGATGGCTGTCATTAAGTGCTTTCATCATAATAAACTTTAAACTGTTGGCTTTATGAATCGCCAGCCAGCTTCAGCTGTTCGTTGGATGGAGCTTGCAGTGCCTTAAGTGTGACAAGGCCTATTAGGAACTGCAACCATGTTTCAAGCGTACTTGGCTTTCCCACTCCTGGGGTGATTGCTGCCTATTAAATGGCATCTGGGAAGATTTTCCTCCAGCAATCTCTGATCAAGAGCTTTTTTGGGCTTTGACCTGCATTTCCTTCAAGACTTTCTTTGAGGAGTTTTATAAGAGCAAAACTCCAGAGGATTTATAGCCACTTCTGATTAATACCTTTTCAGTTTTTCTAGCAACTCTCCCACTGCTACATGGAGAAAAGCTTTCATTGTTCCTAAGGTGCTTATTTGTGACCTTTTCTCTGCTTTCTGATTCCCTCTAACATGTTCTCAGTGAAATCCTTGGTGCGCAACCAAGACAGTGGTTGAAGTTGCTACAGCTTTATAAAGAGTGGCCTTTATTTAAAAAAAATAAGTAAACAGGACTCCTCCTATTTACATTTCAAATGTAATAGCCCAGCATACTAGCATCACAGTTACAAGCTAGCAATCTCAGCTCCCTTTCCTATAAAACAATTAATAAAGTATACATTCCATCAAATGTAAAAAGCATTGCTAACTCACTGGGGCTTCAGCAGGGTGGGGTATATAACATAGGCCTGATCCTCCCAGTATGCCTTTCCCAATTACCTAGGAGTAGAAATTAGCTTTTTAATATGTAACTGGGCAATTTACAAATCCATGGTCTGGCATACCAATGGGGAAAACAAGTTTTGGAGTCAAAAGATCTTCCTGAAGAACACTATCAGCAATTCTTCCTCTTTGATGTGGTGTTGCCTCTCTAAGTGATGCTGCTGACCACAGGGAAGAAAGTGAGTGCTAAGGATCAGATTCAAATCAATCTTGCATGAATCTAAACAGGGTTAAGGCAGAAGTAAAGGGCCCAAGTCATAAAAAGGGATGTAAATTGGCCCACAGAACAACCCGTGCACCTTGATTCATTAGATGCATATATTTTGGCTAAAAAAAAACCCTTAGGTACCTAGGCTTGGGCTACTCCTGATGCTCAGCAGTGACTCAGATGTCTTAGTCATATCTAAACTCCATTGCAATACAAATCAGTATAAAGAAGCACCTACATTCTGCTTTAATCTCTGATTCCTTAGAAGTCAGTGCACACCGTGTGACTGACTGTGTGATGGTGAGAGCACAGATGCAGCACATTACAGCCAGTGGTGGTGATGTTGGCAGCGCTAAGGTCCAGAGAACTAGACAGAGGGAGGGTGACTCTGGAGTGGCATTCCCCTGGGAGGCAGGGAGTCCTGGGTTCGGTTTCCTGTTGCCAGGACTGTTTAACCTTTTTACATCAGAAAAGCATTGATTGAAGACAGACATTGTGTGAGCAGGGAACAGATGCCAGTACTCCACGCTCCAGAGGTGTGCCTTGACCCCTAGGTGATACAGTCACGCTCCCTCCTCCTGCATGCTCTCCTTCCAGCCCCATGAATCCTGTGC